CCCACCCCACTCGCCTCTTTAGTTGAAGTCTTTGACTTCTTCCACGGCTTCTTTGGAATGGCCACCTGCCGAGCAACATTCAAAAATTTATCCATCTCAGCTGCAAAACAACGAAAACAAATAGTGTCAACAACATAACTCTACATTTAACATCAAGCACTATAATGCAAAATATAAACACACTTTCACTCAAAGTGCTTGGCCCATAGAGCTTAACAGCCTCTATAAAATCTGTGTTGGTGAGGTACATTATATTAACTAACTTACCCTCCTCCCTCGCCAACTTCCCCACCTCTTCCTCCTCTTCCTCCTCTTCCTCATTTAAACTATATTTATTTTGGTTGGCTTTCTTAGCCTTCCAAGATGACAACAGTTCTACCTCGGCATCCCCCCTCTCCCACTCAGTGTCACCTATAAAGAAAAGGTTAAATCCCCATTTTGGTCCCTAAACTATTGTACGGACCCCCAATTTGGTCCGTACAATATCTACATCAACATCATAACACCTTTCATTCCTACCCTCCACTTCTACTACGGTTATAGAAACCCTATCTCCCTTAACCCTAGTCATCTCACTTCTTCCTACCCCCTCCTCCGTCCTCTCTGAGTCAAATGACTCACTAGTCATACCACGTCATCATACTCCAACGCCCTCACTTCCTCACCTCCCCCAACGCTCACTGTTTCTTCAGAAGACATCTCTTCAAAGTTTGTAACTTTCACTGCATGGAGTAGAGAAGGGGGGAAATGAAGTTAAGATCTTCAAAAACTCTAACTCACGCTCACCGTTACTCTTACTCCTAAACCTAACTTCCTTCAAAGGACTTAGATCTAAATCAGAAAGGATGAGAGTAGAAGAAAACACATTCTAAAATCTAAATCACCAAAACTCATATCTTATTTGATCTTGGTCTTGAAAGATTGATGTAGAAATCCACAAAGGATGCAACAGTCCAGTCGCAAGAAGAACACAATAGAATTTTGGCAGCAATTTGGTAGAAAATACAATAAGAGTAAAACTCTTTTTACAGAAATGTGGCTATATATACCACAAAGCAAATATATATCTCAACGGTTGTGATTAATTTAATCTGATGGTCACATTCACACCGTTTCGAATTCAACGGTTAAACCCTAATGGGAACCTCTCGAATTCGACGGTTCGTTTTCCATTCCGTCTGTTTAACTGTAGCAGTTACTTTTCTCAGCTCGTATTTATTGTACACGTCTTTCAATAGACAGTTGTCACGTCACGTACTAACTCTACGTTAGACTTTTTAAACGGGCCCAATTAAGCCCAACTCAACACTTCTGTTCACTTTCACAATAATATTTTGGCCAAAGCCCCTATTTGCACCCTCCATTTATTTTTTTTCCGCGGTCAACACCTTCCAGAATTTTTTCTCCCTATTCACACCCTCCACTTTTCAAAACCCGTGAAAAACCCAATATTTTAACGTGCCGTCACGGAACCGTTAATAATCGTTAAAAATTGTAATACGTGGCATCAAACAGTAACATAATCCAATGTGGACTTTTTTTTTTTTTGATGATATGGCATAATAAAATCATAATTAATTTTAATTTTTTCATTTTCTTCTTCCTACATCATCTTTACCATCTTCCTCTTCATCTTCCTGGGTTCCTCATGGAACCAGGTACCCAGAACTTTTTTTTATAATGTGTTATAATTAAATCATCATTAATTTTAATTTCTTCATTTTCTTTTTTCCCGCCATCATCTTCACCATCCTCATCCTCATCCCTTAGGTTCCTCGCAAAACCCAGGTTCTGAGTTCTTCGTAGAAGGTTCTGAGTTCTTATAGAACCTAATTTCACATGAATGCAAGCTAAGATTTTCATCCACACAATTATAAATAAATGAATACTGCACAAAAACATAATAAGCATCTTTTACTCTTTTCTCACAAAAAACTAAAATTGGCAACCTATTCAGTAACAATCTCTCAGCAAAAAAACTCACTTTCTCAACAAAAAAAAATTATTCCAAATTATTTTGCATAAAATCGAAAGTTAAGATAAATACATTTAAAAAATATATATATAAAAAAAAAGGAGGTTGGAACTGGGTTAAGATGGAGAAAGAAGAGGATGGTGAAGATGAAGGGCGGTGAAGATGGAGGGCGGTGAAGATGATGCCGAGGATGAGGGGGGAAAGGAAAAAAAGAAAAAATGCCATTTATGTATGATAATATTATAATTTTTTATTATTTTTACTGTATACGTGGCGTCCACGTTGGATTACTAACGTTACATAGTGCCACGTCAATTTTTGGGTGCCACGTAATATATTTTTTAACGGGACCGTGACGGCCCGTTAAAATATTGGGTTTTTCACGGGTTTTGAAAAGTGGAAGGTGTGAATAGGGAGAAAAAATTCTGGAAGGTGTTGACCACGGAAAAAAAATAAATGGAGGGTGCAAATAGGGGCTTTGGCCTAATATTTTTCAATTTTACAAGTGTTTCACCTCGGCTCTGGCTACAGTGACCCCATGTCACATATTTTACTTCGACTCTGACCATAGTAACCCTGTGTCATATATTTTACATCGGTTCAAGCCATAGTGACCCTGTGTCACATATTTTACTATAGCTCTGGCCACAATGACTCCGACCATTACTTTTTATGGCTTCAGCCACAATGACTCCGGCCATTACTTTTTATGGCTTCGGCCACAATGACTCTGGTCATTACTTTTTATGGCTCCAACCATAATGACTTCGGTCATTACTTTTTACTATAGCTCCGACCACAATGACTCCGGTCATTACTTTTTACTACAATCCCGATCACAATGACTTCAGTCATTACTCTAACCATGGTGATCCCGCGTCACATATTCTACTATTAGTTACAGCCATTCAAGAATTTGAGTTATCAATTTTTATTTTAATTATAACTCCAGTAACTCATCTATAATATTCTTTCATTCCTCTTTTCACCTAACTATACACCTCTAACAACATCATTTACAAGTGAATGACTTCGAGGGGGGATTAGTGTAAGGATAGGTCTGAGGTCCTTAACCTCGGACGTACTGCTACAATTCCTTAATAACCGAAGTAAAGTTAAACCTAGCACTTCTCGGTTAAATGGCTGCATGGTAGATAAAATGAACATGCCTACACCCGAATTATCACACATAATTTCTAGGTCTCGAAATTATCGCCTGAATGGATATGTCACACTCTGATTATATTATTAAGCAAGCCACGTGGAGACCTCATGGAAGTCTATAAATACCCCCCAGGGGCCACCTCAAAAGGTAATTAAAACCAACCTAAAGCTCCTTTTTAATTATTCTAGAGGTAGATCCGATTATTGCTGACTTAAGCATCGAAGTGTCTACCTCAAGGACCCACCTC